CTTACTCTAAAGATTGGAAATATTCACTTCTTACCCTGTAATACTCTTATTCTTGTTTGGCTTACAGTTGAGTCTGTCTTCCTTATGCACCTTTTTGATCAAATTGCTGTAATTTAGCTACTACTTCACAGGTGGCAGAGAATATAGAGTCCTCCTCTCTGTTCTCTGAAGTTCCTACTTTGGATTACAAGTAATTTCTTGGCATCCATATAGATCCCAAACATTTTGCAGTGGAACACCAGACTCACAAGACCTGGTAGATCAGAATTTTGCCCAAGATCCCAGTGTGGCATGGAAGGAAGAAGCCTCCAAAACATGTTTCTTAAGACCCTTTCTAATGCCTTATCTATTCAATGTACAGATGAATAGACCAGTAGCAAAAGCTGTGATATAACATGTAGTTACAAAGGTAATGTTTGTAACATCTGAAAAACGTTTCCCCTCAGGCTGTATGGGAAGGTCAGTGTCAGATTAGTGCTTTTGTGTGTCATTGCCTGTAGCCGCTGCACTGTGGGAGCTGACCTGGGAGGCAATGAAACAGTATTAGGAAGTCAGTCTAGGGATACGGGCAGGAAATGGGGCTTAGGGACCCATAACAAACTCTCCTGCTACATAGTTCTCTGATTTTGGGTAAGCTGCATGCACTACTGATGAGTCACAGGCAGCTGGACGATGTGAGTTTGGCTCCATCTAAGGGAAGCAGTAAAATACTACAATAACCCCAGAAACGAGTTGGTGTCTTTGCCAGTCCTTTTGAAACAAAAGATGATGGCCAGCCTTCACCTTTTCTCATAAACCACAATGTGTCTTTATCACTTCACTTTTGAACCTATGAGTTTGTAAACTGTGTTGTTTACTATGGTAAATACTTTCCTACCTATGTGTGTCACAACTTGGAAGTCGCAGACTTAAGTTAATAATTAACGTATCCTTTGATAGAAGACACTAATTATTAACCCTGAACTCTGATACTAGTCCACACACTTTTTTACAGGCACTTACACTTCCGCAAACAATTTTTTATTCAGAAATTCTTGTGCTTGATATTTGCCTAAAGGACATACTTTTAAAAGAAGATGTCAGTTACCTTTGCTCTCTTTTTCCTATATGTTGCTTGCTCTTTGAGCAGTTGAGCAGGCAAACCCTCTTTTCTTGTGAGGGACATATAGGTAAGTAGATTCCTTGCCCAGCAAAGCTTAGATTAAAAGAAATACATTGTTGTTTATCAAATTGAAACTGTTGACCCATTTCAAAACAGAAAATCCTTATCCTTAGTAAGATAGGAAAATGAGTGTCTGTAACACTTTGAACAGTCATAGAACTACCTCTGTAAGACGTTTGTGTCCTCACTCAACTTCTTTCTCAAGAGACACTTGTACTGTAGGGATTATAGGAAAGAAACCAGCCACTGATGCACAGGACATGGAAAATAAGAAAGAAACATGTCAACAACAGGGTTCAATTAAAAAAGTGAAAGCGACCGGCCTCTCTGAAGGCAAGGAATTTTATTAGACACTTTTTCCAGTCATCTCTTATTCTTGCTTGTCAGGACTTGATTAAACAATGCTGAGAACACACCATCTCCTCCTAGTTTTACAATGCAACCCCGAAGTCAACTGCTCCCTGTAAAGCTCTCACAAGGACTCCTAACGTAACAGGACGGCAGTACCACCCCGGGGCGTTGTGGCAGCTGCCTGCTCAGAGCTGGACCATGCACAAAAGGGGGACTTCACAGCCCTCTGCTCTCCATTAGGAGCTTCACAGCCCTCTGCTCTCCACTAGGAGCCCTGTCTTCAGTGTATACAGCCTGCTACTCCTCCTATGTGCTCAAACACATGCCTGAACTCCAGTACCGGCTCCTGCACCCTCCTATTCTTTTCCCTTCCTATCCTTGTCTGGCACACCCTCCTCCTCAACCTTTGCCCTGCAGTCTCCGAGGGAATTATATGCTCTGGCTCAAGGCCATAATGTGGAAGCTGAGCTGATCAAGTGCCTGATGGTGCTTAGTCTGGTGGAAGAGCTCATCCAGCCCCGACAGAGGCAATTATGGCCCAGCAGAATCCGCCTACATGCAAGTGCTCCCAGGGCTGCTGTGGGAGAGGCGCCACAGAGGTGGCTTCCCTTGAAGTCCAGGTCAGTGTCTTGCAGGAGCCTGGCCATGGCAGCCAGTGTACAGGCTCTGCCTGAGCCCGGGGCTGGCAATCACCCCTATTTGGCCAAGTGCCTCTGGAAGGAGCTTCCCCAGAGCCCTGGAAAGTCCCTGCACACTCTCTTGTATGTACACACACACGTGTGAGCATCTGCTGCTGTGGTCTGTGTAAACCCCTGGAAAACCTGGAATCTTACTGAGCTGCTCAGATGCGTACTGCCTGTCAGGACCCTAGTTAGAAGAATTCATTACTCCCCAAAATATTAAGCAGGAACAATTATCTGTGCCAACCAGGTTCTTTTTCCATCAGGAGACGATTCGTCCATCAGCCTAATGCCAAGACAATAAACACTATTAGGCATGTTCTGAGTTGTTGGGTCATTAAGGTTTCTGTAATAGCTTATGGTTTTAAGCAGAGTCATCTTTAGATGCCTGAAGGCCATCCAGTCTTTAATGTTAAACACAGCATTGAGCCATTCTAAGAACTTTATCTTTAGAAACACTCTTAGGGACACCTTTAACTTTGTTCTCTTTTGATTTTCTTCCCCCATTCTTACTGCTTTTCTTTAAAGAGAAAGGAAATCCAAATGCAAAACTGAATATAATGCTAAGTCAATGATAATTAAGACATCATGGTAGGCACCCAAAAGTACCTTAATTTTGAAATTATGCAATTGAGTTCAGAACTGCACTTAGAATTAGTCCCACTGTAACTGTATTGAATTCTGCTGTATTCTGTTATACTGCACTGGCATCTTCTTTGTTGAGTGTAAACTTTCATCTAATATTAAATTAAACTGAAGTAATTTAATGTACTTGATTTGCTGCCTTTACCAATATGGCAAACTGTTCTTATGCATTTGTTAATAAAACATGAATTCAGTTAATTCACTATGACTCTTAAGGAAATTGAAAGCTACTGAAAATAACAAGGCCTTCAAAACTAAAACAAAAAAGTATAGCTTGCATGCAATATGTGTTCTTCACTTTTCACTGTTCTTGGTCAAGACAGAAAGCTTTTATGGGCAAGTGGAATTATATCTTTCTGTTTTCCCTTACTGTATATAGTAATACCTGTATATAGTAATACCTGTAAATACCTTTGAAAACCTTAGAAAAACAAGTAACAATCAGTAACATGTAGAGTTTGTGAATTGGTAGAGATGTTACCAAACCAATGAAACCTACATATAGAAATGAAGAGAAAAGCTTCTATCTCTTAAATGTCCATCTGTTTGAAGGAAGATACAGCTCAGTGAGTAGGGCTCCAGCTTGTGAACTGGAAATACGGGCATAGCTGTGAGCTTTGCCATCAGTTTGTGGTATGTCCTTGGACATATCATTTGTCCTCCCCTGTTCTGTAAATAGATCTATTAACAAGTCTTCTAAGCAAACGATTTCAAGAACAAGCCACGGCACCATTGTTGCTAAAATTGGGTAACACTGTAGAGCAGGAAGACATCCATGCTTTCTCATCCACCTGGAGCATTTCTCTCAGATCCCTAAAGAGCTGTTAGAAAACACGGGAGAAAGGAAGGTGAATATTCCTGACTTGCCATTTAACCTAAAACTCCCAGAATCACCATCATGCATGGGAATGTTTTTTTATTCTATTCTTTCACTAAACTACCTCTGGAGGGCTAACCCTGTCAAAGAGTAGGGAGAAGAATTACGTTGCTTCAAAGATTTATGTACATAGCCAAAGCTGAACTGGATCTCTGGGAATGAAAAGCAAAGAGCTGTAAATGTCAACATTGGAAATTAGGGCAAAACAGTGGCTGACTGGCAGTAACTGGCTAAGTATTTGGTTCTTCTGAACCTAACTTGTATCATCAAGCTTCTTATTGTGAATTGCATAGATTAATTGTACATGGTACAAACATTTTTTCCTAACTACTTCACATACATTGCTTTGCAGTTATATCATGGCCTCTAGTTCTTTGACTATGAGAGAATAAGGAAAGGCCAATGACGCCTTCTTTATACCATTTGTTATTGTATACCTCGCTTGTGTGCCCTTTTCTTTGTTTTGAAAGGTGATTCTAAATTTTTCAGCTTCACGGTGCGAAACAATCCTTCACTGAGTATTCGTATAGTCTCTGTCATGACTCAACGTCATTTTGAGATTCAGTAAGCAGGGGCAAGAATAGCATTGCAGGTATACTGCACCAACTATTTATAACGATATCATAATGGTCTAACTATGGTCCTCTGCCCTGCTCTTCAGGGATGGCATCATTCCTCTACTTTCTCCACAATCCCACCTTCGTTAACTGAAGTTTTCACTATGACCATTTCACCCACTTGCACCACTTATTTTCCTGGCTTTGTACTACATCGAGAAACATTGTGTTTCCCCAAGAAAAGGCCCAGACCACCCAGCCAGGCACTTGAAGGGGCAGCTGAAACCTCCAGATCTGCTGAAACCTCCAATTCAGTCACAGGTCAGGCAACAATGGCGGCACGGCCCTCGTTGTTGGTTGCTTTGGGATTTTTTTTTCTGAGACTCAGGTACCCCTGAAGCTGCTTTACACACGTGAAAGTGCGGAAAAGTTAGGGATGCATTTCATGTGAAGATTTCTGTTGGGCAATCCCTAATTTCCAGCAATCTCGGTTCACTGAATATTATCTCGCAACTTAAGGTTACAACAGCACTGATAAAGCTGGACAATCGCCGCGCTGCTGCATTTAACTTCCAGCACTTAAGATCCAGCCTCTGCTGGGGACCCTTCACTCCCATCCCAAGGATTTGGGGTGGGCAGCACTGGGAGAAAACACGGGAGAAAGGAAGGCAAATATTCTTGATTTGTCATTAAGCCTAAACATCCCAGAATTAACATCACGCACCGGAATGGTTCGCGTTTTTAGCCCCCATAAACCACTCCCGCCCTCCCCGCGGCTCCCACACGGCCAGCACTGTCCCTTTAAGGCGAGGCCGACGCCCCGCCCCCGCCCCCATGATGACCTCATCCCTGCCTTGCTATTGGCTGCTCGTACCGTCAGTCAGGCTGCGCCCGCCCCGCCCCCGCCCCTCGCCCCCGTTAGCTTCCCCAGGTGCTCGCAGCCCATTGGTCAGCCCCCGTGCCGCTCACCTGCGCCTCTCCGCGCTGATTGGCGGGGGCGGTGCGGAGCGGGCGCTTCCGCGGTTGCGAGGCGCCGGCCGGCGGTGGCGCGGCCGCGCTGCGGGAGTGGGGGCGGCGCCTCTCGGCGGGGCCGGGCGCGGGCGGGCTCGGGGCGAGATGGAGCCGTGACCAGGTGAGCGCGGAGCTGCGCCTCGGCCGGGACACGCGGGGCGGCCTCTGGGGCCGCCGGCGGCATGGAGAGGGTGGGAATGGGCGCGGGCCCGCCCCGAGGGGCCTGCCCTGGCCGGGGCACGGCCGCTCCCTCGGGCGCGGGGCGGCTGCGCCCCTTCCGGAGCCCCCGCGCTGTGCCGGTGCTGCCCCGGCGCGCTCGGCGCCCCTGCCCGCCCACACCCCTCAAGGGGGCTCCCGGGAGCCCCGCGTTCCCTGGGTCGGCGGTGGGTGTTTTTCGGGGATCTCTTCCCGACGTTCCAGGCCGGGCAGTGCTGACAGGAGCCCCCGAGGGCTCAGGCAGCAGCCGCCTCCTGCCGCCCCCACCAGGCTCTCGGGAGCGGGGGTGGCTTTTTCCTCTGGAAAGATGCTTGTCCGTGCTATGGCTGGGTGCATATTTGAGGTAACATCCCTGTGTCCCAGCCGTCTGTCGCCCTCTCCCTGACTGTAAAATCTTGTGTCAAAGAGGACCGTAATTTCTCATACTCTCCGATCCCAGGTGAAAGCTCACCGATCTCCATGTGTGTAAGTGGAAATGCCCTCCTGAGACCTGGATCTGTGTACCCTTACACTTAATCGTGCAAACTTTGTGTTTAACGCGGTTCTGTATGATGCTGTTTTACGAGATGAACTATGAGTGGGCTGAGTAAGGGGTTTCAGGTTTGCTGCTGCTTTATAGCAGTTCCTTTCTGGTATTGTTTGTCCAGACAGTCTCCGGGCCTCTGCTATGAAACTGCATCTTAGTCTACCATCCATAGGAATTTAATTTTGAAGACATTAAAAAGGTTTCTGTTTGAGTCTATAGCCTCCTTTTTGGATCATGAAAACCAAAATGTGCTTTTTGGTTTTGTTAGGATCTGAAGAAACAGCTCTGAATGTTTGGAAAATATAAAATGTAGCTATTCTTGGCTGACTGTGTATATCCCAACATTTTGTCTGTATATCAGATTTGCATTTGACATCAGGGCTGGTTAGCCATGGCATAGCTGACTTATTGAAATTATGTTTTCTAATTGTGTGTTGGTTTTACTTTCAACTATATATAAGTGTAAGCTTTGAGCAGTGATTTCAAAATATACCTTTTGCTTGTGCAGAACCTCCTCAATAGGCTTTTGTAAAGACGCTATTAAAATCTGTATTGTAGAACTGCTAAAAGTGTAATGCCTTTAGATCTTCATAAGTATTTCCAAAAATACTTCAGTCATTACTGAATATGAAATGAGAGGGACACCCATTTGTTCCCATTTGCTGCAGTGATTAAATGAGTGATCTAATAGTTGTGATTAAATAGAATCTAATAATAGAATTTAAAATAAGTGTATGATTTGAAGGTAACTGTGAACTCCTGTTCTTTAGATTCATGCTTTCTGCTGAAGGGAGAAAAGAGACTCAGGGTTGAAAGCAAATGCCATAAGCTTTTCAGAAGTAGGCGAATTTACCCTTCTTAATTAACAGTTATTAACTTATTGAGCCCTTTCCATTTCTTCCTCTCTTATAATTTAGATACCAAATGTGATTTCAGGAAAAGAGTGAATTATTGCCAGTTATAGTTTCTTGAACATTGTATTGTTCTGCACAAAATAAAAGCAGTGCTGGGTTTTCTGGTTCCAACAGTTGTGGAAGCAGCTTTAATTTCTATTTAATTAAGGCCATCCACTCTCATCATCATGTGGGAGAAGGCTCTGAAATCCTGAGGCAATAAGCAGATCATAAAATAAAATGCAAAGAAAGGGAGTACAGAAGACATTTTGACATAGGACTAAAAGAATATGGCATTTTCCCAAAAGCAGTCTTTAATTTTTCCTCCCTTTGAATATGAAGTAATGGGAAACCCTTAGGTTTGAGGAGTGCTTGCTTGTGGGTTTTTTTTAACTCTGACTTCTAGTGGCGTGGTAAAGCAGCAGCATTTTTCACAGACTCTTTCATCCTGATACTTCGAAGTGAAATGTACATTCAGGCAATCAAATTAATAATTATTTAATAATAATAATAAAAAGCCCTACTGGATTTCCTTCACTGTTGAGCCATGATTGCATTGCTGTATGGTATTTAGTGGGGAAGAGGGCAACTGTGCTAGATAGAGAAGAGGATCAGAACCAAAAAGGTTTGGGTGTTAGAGTACAAAGATAAATTCTTAGGATGTATCAAAACGTTATCACAAGATTAATTATTGCATACATTTGGAATGTGCAGGGTTTCTCCATATATGCTTTTTACTTCAAAAACACAATTTATAGCAACTCTGAGTCTTCTGTCTTTGCTCTCTATACTCAACTGTCCTTCCTGTGTTGTAGATAATAAAATCGGTCTGTCTCAATGTCTATTTACTTACTGATAACTCAGTATTGTGATTAAGATCCCTTTTGAAGAGTACAGTTGATTTCCTCCATGTAAAAAGAGGTAACAATTAGCAAATCTTATAGTTACACAAGGTTCTTCCTTTAAAGATTTTTTTTTTATCAACTGTGTCCTGAGGGTCACTGTCTTTTCCTGAGAAACTGTTGGAGAGGAAGCAGAAAAGGCAACTGTTCAGCGGTCTGAAACTGTCAAACACCTACTCTGGGAAAGCCAAATCTAATTATTTCCTGTTGGACATATTGCTGAACTGAGACTGCAAACAGAGGATGTGGTTACACAGACATTTCTTTTAGTGTTAGTACTGTCTTGAACAGCTCATATTCCCATCTGCCTTTTTTTTTCCTCCCCATCATGTGCTGTCACCTCAGTAGTGATGGTATGTCTGTGGGGCTGCATGCTGGGCCTGTTAGAGACCGGATTTTTAATCTGAGCTTGTTCTATTCCTCTCCCTCTCAGACCCCCAAATAAAAGATGGGGGAGGGCTGAAGGAATGTGTAGCTACAGTGGAGGGAGAGCAGAAGTGGATTAGTAAGAGCTGCAGCTAAAGGGAACCATAGTTTAAAACTCTTCTATGATTCTTTTACGCATGTGCATCAGATGAAATGGATGAGTTTGTGTGAATTCAGAAACTCATTTCTATGTCAGTACTCAGTTCAGTTCTTCAGGAACACCCGTGTGTGGTTAATGTGTATGTTTTTCCTTCCATCCTTTGAGTGCCTTACAGAGTGCAAACACTGGTAAGTGGGTTCTTTGGGGGAAATGAATGGCATTGGGGTGGGGACAGTTTTCATTACCAGTCTTAGGTATGCTGTACTGGTCAGTCAATGCCTTCACATTTTTAAATGTGGGTTGTCCTGGTGGAGAACAAACAAAAAAATACAGGAATCTGACATCAGTCTGATAGTCTGTTTTCAGATGTGAAGAAACTACTGCTAACAGTATCTCACTTTCTTTGATCCTTTCCTATTTCTTATAAAATACACTTATTTTCCACCCAGATAAATTTTAGTTTTTCACTGAGTAAGGTACTGTAATTGTTTAAATTAGATTGGTTTATATTTCAGAAATTGGAGTAATGGATTTAGTTTGTGCAGCATTCCTTTCCCCTTCCCTCCCCCATTTTCTTCTCTGTGTGCACAGCATCATTATTCTTGTGTGAAGAAATATTTTGGATTTAGGCACATGGCCATATTGATAACATCTCCATAAGAAGGTGAAATTTAACACAGTCACAAGTCTTTCTAAGTCTTGAAAGCTAAAGGCTGAGCTTTTAATTGGGAATTTCTTGTGCACCTTAACCTCATGCCATACATCTGCTTTTGCTCTCCTACCACAAACTAGCGTGTCGACTGCTTCTACTTATCCTTCTTAATTAACTTGTGCTCCCTATTTCAGCTTGTTTGGGCCCTGCTGATCCAGAAAAGCAGGGTTTTTGTGGAGCACAGCAGAGGAAGCCTGGTAGCTGCTGCTGCATGTGCCAGCACGTTATTTGTTAAGAGCTGATCATCGGGGGCTGCCTCTGTGGCACTGAAAAAAAAATTTTCCCCTGGACATGGTCAGGAACTGCTGCTGCTGCCACCGGCTCTGCTTGCCATGGGTGCATGAAATGTGTATATACCACAATGCAGGGGCCCCTGACATAAAGCAGTGCAGAAATTTGCCTATTTTGTCATCTTCAGTGAGGCAAATAAATGTGCTGACTACATGTCATCTTCGTGTTAGGGGAACAGGAGACTGAAATGATATGTCCAGTTTTGTGAAATTAATTTTGGTTTGGGACAGTCTACATCACAGATTGTTTCAACCTCAAATTAATGCTTCCTGTAATATATGGCAATTACGACTAGTTCTAGCCACACTAGGGAGAGGGGGTGTGGTTCCTTGAGTTCTACCCTTGCTGTGGTTTAGTGGAGCACTGAGGATATGTCTTCACTGCACGATTGATCCATACGTTCAGCACCCTCTCTAGACTTACTCAAATGAGATCATCCTTTACACGCAACCATACCCATGTTACGATGAACTAATTCAACTGTTTATGTGTGTGAAGGTACGGCTCTGAGCAAAGATTAGACAAGATTCACTTTCTATCAGTTACAGGGAAGCTTTTTCTCCTTGAGGAAGAAACTTTTGGGAAAAAAACATTGAAAGACTCTACTTGAATGATTTCTTTTTTAAAAATTATTACTACTGTAACCCTCTTTAGTGATCTTTATAGCAATATAAGAAGTTTTGAACATAATGCGATTACAGTCTGCATTGTAACCTGATTTCTGTCTCACTGTGTAAGATGGACCCAAACCTGGATGAGAGTTTTCTTAGAGTGATTGGTAGGACCAAGTTAATATTAGGCCTAATATTACTCTCTGAATTCTCTCTCATATGTCTTGTCGGGCATGCTTTACCGGAACAGATCACTTGGAGTCTGAATCTTTTCAAAGCCTCCATCTGAGAGACAGGATGGGTGTTGGAAGGATGTGATATGAGTTCTGCATTGCCGTATTCAGATCAGACTTGTGAATCCTGTCAGTGAGTTTCTGTGTTGTTCAGACGTGCTCAAGCTCCAAGTCACCAGTGAAGGCAATAAGCCATTGTAATCACCGGAATAGCAGCCATTTGGCTTGAACATGTAAACACTGACATATAAACATTTCCATTGGATGGAGAAGTTTATCAGCAAGATGAGACTTCTGCATTTCTTAGAGATGACACTATTTTTTCTTCAGAAAATCTAGGACAGTAGAGTTTTGCCTGCATTGACTGTATAGTGAGAGGAAAAAGGAGTGTTGGAGGAATGTTTTGATTGTGCTATGAGCAAAGAATAATAAAAGCAGTTTAACTGTGGAATTTTGCCAGAAAATGTTTCAGTTATCAGATTAATCTTTGCTCACTTGCTGCAGTATAGGAGGAGCAGTAAAAGAGCTTGTCTTTCATTACAGTTGTAAGGCTGTTCTGCTGAATTTTTGTGAAGTTTGACTTGGTTTTGAAGGCAGGGTGTGTCTGTGTTCTGTCTTCAAACTGGATTGAAATTCCATGGAGTGAGTGAATAAGGATAATGACAGGAATATATTATACCTGCAGCATCTCTTAGCTTAAGGCACACACGTATTAGAAAAAAGTTGACGACTGTCCGTGCCTATTGCAAGCCAATTTGACTCCTACTTGGGGTTCAGATGGCTAAGAATAAATCTCAGGATGCAATACTTTAACCACCTCCGATTGAGCAGGAGCTTCGATGACAAATAGGACTGAAAGTTTTAAAGTTGACCTTTTATTGGCCAGAGTATCTGGAATAAAACTTTAGTTCTTAGTAGAGAAAGAAAGATAAATATCTGGTGTCCTGGAGTATGAGTTTTACATGGGAGAACAAGGATGTCTGGACTCCTGAGCAGGCTGATGGAAGTGCTGGAAAGTCAGGAGAAGTAAATAAACTGAGGCAAGAAAGTTATTGCAATAATCAGTCCTGTTTTCTGAGTGTGTGCTTGCATGTACACACACACACAAGTTCTTTTTCACAAGGATAGTGCTAAGTTTTTGCAAAGATGCCAAAGTCACTGAGTGTGTGTGTGTCCCGTATTGTGCCAGGTGAGGTGTCTGTCCGGCCTGGTGTTTGATTGTTGATTACAAATGCCTTGGAAGGGATGTAGAACTGGGGGTGTACAGAGAGGTTCTTTCCCTTCTGCCTCACCCTCCAGCTGAGTAGGAATAGCCTGATACATTCTTCAGACCTGGAATATTTAGCAGTTTGAAGTTTTCCAGAAAAAAACTTGCTGAAGAAAACACAAAGATTATTTTGGTTGGTTCTGGGGTTTCACTTCTGTAAAAGATTAGCAGATGCCCTGTACCAAGTGGTAGGAGAGGCTGATCAAGAAAAGACTCAATGTGAGAGCTGTCTGGATTCAAATGAGATTCGGGAGAACGTGGATCATAAGTGCTGGAAATTAAATGCAGCAGCTTGATGATTGTCCAGCTTTATCAGCACTGTTGTAATCTAATATTGGAAGATAATATTCAGTGAACCAAGATTACTGGAAATTAGGGATTGTCCAGCAGAAATCTTCAAATGAAACACATCCCTAACTTTTCCACCCTTTTGTGTGTGAAAAGCGGTTTCAAGGGTACCTGAGTCTCAAAAAAGCCAAACCCCCAAAGCAATCAACAAACACCAAAATAAAAAACTACTCAAACCCAAAAGATAACAAAAACTGGCACTAGGGCAAAGATTTAATATATGGATAAATATCACTCACTTATTTGTGATTTAACAAACCAACACCATCACAACCAAACACTCCATACCTGAATTTTGATGTTATGTGCTTAATGCTGTCAGAAGAATACTCCAGCAAAATTATTTTACCAAATTATGTCAGGTACTTTATTATCATGTTGGAATAGCAAACTCTTAACAGTGGTTAATTGTTTACATCTTTGTGGAAGACTTTCCTTGACTTTCCGAGGCCTTTTTGCCTTGCCTTTTAGGAAATCTAGGATCTGCAATTCTGTGAAAAGTACATTTTAAGTATATACTTGGTTTTGTAGCCTTGCATCATTATCATGTTTCAGTTGTATCAGTTTGGCTATTTATTAAAGAAAAGTAATTGCTTGTTACGGATTCTCACGTTAAATTAATTAAGCGGTTGTAAGTAATTCTAAATATTGACTTGATGACAAATACTGTAAGAGGTGGCAGAATGAATTCTTGATTCTGTGATAGAGCCATGATTAATGTGTGCTGACACATTTTATTCAAAGAAAAATAGAAACATTCTCTGTAAGGGAAGCCTCTAAAGTAGTAGTGTCACCTTGGTTTTGATTTGTATCTTACTGTAAATCGCTTCTTCAAATCGTTAACTGGAGAGTCGACCTAGTAGGTGTGCAATTCATTACTGTAGCTGCTGCTAAACCGTGGCCTTCTTTAATTTGCTGGGTGGGGATCAGAAAACTTTCACATTTTGTGATATGCCAACTGTCCAAGCATCGAGACTAATCAGTCTAATTGGTCTTATTCCTAATGATGTTGAAGTAGTAGATAGCTCATTCTATTTTTTGTGTTTCATTGGAACTATGGTAATGCTTCTGTCCAAAGTCCATCCAGTCTGAAGTTTGTATTTAGGGAGGTGCCTGTTTTTTTTAATTTGATGTTATTGACAGAATATCATGGCATCTCAACTGCAGTTTTGTGCTTCTGATGTCTAGGAAGCCCTGAAGTCTGAAGAGCTTGGAGGAGGAAATGGAATAGAAACTTCATGTTAAAACCTTCCTATGATGATTTGTATTTTTTTAAAGGTGGCTAAGGAAGTAGGAGTGAAAGTATGGCAACTACAAACCAACTTCTGACACCTACCATTTGAGACAACAGTCTTCCAGAGCCTCTGAAGTAATTTTTTTCTAGTCAAGTACTGCTATGCACACCTGTTCAGGCTGTATTGGCAGAGCAAAGTGGTGTGTTACTTCAGTACGTTTAGGAGTTTTTAAGGTGCACAGGAAGGTTATCCTGGGCCCTCACTCCCCCAAAAAATGGAATTCCCATTGCAGTCTTGACAAATCTCTGAAATGTACTTTTTTACTTTACCCTGGTTTTGTTTGGATGGATGTAATAAACTAGTCATAACAGGCTACAACTTCTACCATCCAGTGTTTAAGAATGATTTCAGTACAGGGACAAGAAAACTGAGTATCATTTGGTGAATATTCTACCTTAGTAGATCTCAAACACTGCATTCTTCAGAACTGACTAACCTGCTGTCCTAAAGTAAAAGTTCTGCTCTGCAAGTAGCATGGGTATGTATATACAAGTGTGGCAGTCTTGATGGTAATTCAGTCCAAGTTCTGTTGTGTGTGCCAAATGAATTAAAGATTCTATGTAAAAAGAATCCTAGATAAAGAACTTCACTCCTTACTCTTAAAGCAGAAAATGGGCTGTGCTGTGTTTAGTTTTGTTTGGTTGTTTGTTTTTAAATCTCTGACTATCTGTCCTATTTTCTCTTTCAGTGACTGCGGAGAGAGCTGCTGGCATGGAAGTGAGCTGGGTTTGTCCGTGGGAACTGTGAGTAAGGTGTGTGTTGTGTTCTTTTTGCTGTCTTTAGTCTGTTCTTATGTGCTGAATTGAAAATTGCTTGTGGTCACTGAACGTGAGGAATAGTATTGTTTAGAGATAAAATATTTAAGTATTTTGAATTTGCATTGATGTCAAGTGTAACATCTATGCATCAAGGACTTTATAGTGTTAACAGCATAAACAGCACACTTGCCCACTTTTCAATGCTGCTGAGCAATTATAAGACTTGTTTTAAAGAAAGAAGCAGAGAAGGCTGAATTTGCTATCCTTTGAATCAGCAAAGAGCAGCGTTCCAATTCCCCCACCCTTCCACCATGTTCTTTACTCACATTCATTAGATTTACATGTTAGGGAGCACCTCTTGAGTACTTGCTACTTCTTTTCAATGAACTGGTTAACTTAAGCAAGACAGTGATATTGATATATGCTTCTCTGTGAATCACTGAAGAAAAATCTTACCAATTTTTCAGTAGGGGGGAGATCCAAGGGTGGAAAGTTTGTTCTTGTAGGGGAAAAAGGGAACAGAGTATCTAGTAACTCAGTCTCAATTGCTGAGATTTTCACTTAATGAATGTCACACTGGGTAGTAGAATATGCCAATAAATGCAAAGAAATTTGAATTGCACACCCAGTGTCCGTTGATGGGGAGGAGAGACAAAATCAATTCAGATTGGTTTAATTTCTGTAGACAGTTTCATAGTCATGACTAAAGAATGTGACTGGGGTCAGAAAACTTCTTCCAGACTCTGTTTCAGACTTTGGTTTCACACTGTACTTGAGGTAATTGAAAGCTGTCATTTTTTCAATGGGCCTTGCGCTCCTCGATTTTTTTTGTTTGTTTGTTTAGGTTTTGTTTGTTTAGGTTTTTTGTTTGCTTTTCTAATGAGATCTAACAAATCTGTGGTTGCAGGGTTCAGATTGCTAGCACAGTGGGAAAACAAGCATGTTCCAAGGTGTAGCTTTTCATCAGAACAGCAAGCTGAATTGACTTGCTCTGTGGCTGCAGTCACTACTTGAAGGAGAGAAGGTGAGAATTTCAAACTGAGGTGAGGTGATACAATATGGATCTACACTCTCAGTCACAGCCTAGGATCAGACTGAAATAGTTAAAATATAAAACTACTTCCTCGGGCACGCTAAAGTAAGTTACCAAAAACATTGCCATAAAATCCTTAAGATTCTATAAGTTCTGCAGTTTTGCCTGCTACTTTGTGCTGACATGAACGCTTGTGCCAGGAACTGAACTGACTGAAATCTAACTACTTTATCTTGGTTTAATTCTTTTTTTTTCCTTTTAAAAATTTATTTTCTTTTAGTCTAGATTTGTTCCCTGGGCTGTCTTTCCTTTCTTGCTCAAGTCACCACTTTATTATGTCCCAGGCCATCCAGTTCTTGTCCCAAATTCCAAATCTTCTGTGTTTGAAAGTGTATTGTTTCTTTTGAGGTCTTATTTCCACGCTTCTCTTGTCCAGTGAATTTCTCATCCCAATCTGCCCTAAATCCACATTCACCAAGAGTTTCTTCATATTTTCTCAACCATGAATTTCCAAGTCACAGCTCACATCTGGCTGCAGATTGTCAGCATTCCCTTTTCTAGTTTGCTGCAGCCTCCCTGTTTCCATTGGTTGTTGGCATCTGTTGCCACATGCCTTTGCTGCTGGCTGAATCCATTGCTTCCCCTAGTTGCCCCTATGGGGTGGGAAGGAATGCTTTGCCTCCGACATGAAGGAAAACTTAAAAGATGCATCAGACAGCAGTTGCAAGGAAGTCAGTCAGAAGGTGGTGAAAAACAGGCAATCCTGTTCTAAACACACTGCAGTCCATCATGCGTTTCTTTGGCAGCAATGCAGGCTCAAACAGCTTGCTCCCTTTCTTGGCTCCCTCTGTTTTGCTGGCATAGCTGTTTTTGTGGCCATGGTGAGCCACTCTGGGGAACACATGCTCCTGGAAAGAAGTGTTTTCTCCTAGATTATTTTTCATCTGGTCTAGTACATGTTGTCTCTGTAAGATTTGTGTTGGTTTCACGATGAGGAAGGTATGAGAGCAGGAATGTGCAGCAGGCTGCTTAAGTTGGCACCACTGCTAGATGTTTAAGTGTGCTCTTTGACATTACAGTTAAGTTGATCTTTCAGTGTGCTGCTGTTGCAAAGGCTGGTCAAACCTCTGCACAGCTGTGTGCTCCTACTTCTTCCTTTGCATCAGAGCTTGTGATTGTGCAGCCCCAGGGCACATCCAACTAGCTGACTGATCCTGGAAAAAATGGTTTCTAATCTTTTGCAGAGTGGATTGTCTGCTGGTTCGGCTGACCTGAGTCACCCTGTGGGTGCACAATCATTAGATCAGACAAAAGGGAAGCTGCAGGAACCAACAGCTTGGTAGCAGAAGGCTGGATTCCTCTTTTAAATAGGATGTTGAGCCTATATCATGACCAAGGCCTAAAATATACTGGTGTACCTATTGATACATGACACCTGAACATCACGTCTTTTTTGGTCTCTTTTATTCTTTGAACTTCAGCAGAAATTGTTGTTTCTTCAGTAGCCATCATCTTTAGTCTCACAAACTGGATCATTCATTCAGCACACTAAGAGGTATGATAGAATTAGGTGTCTATAAAGTACTTCACTAGTTTAAGGCTCAGCATCCTCTAAAATTGGAAGAATGTCTTCCTCATTCATACTTTGAGCTTAAATAAGATCTTCAGAAATTGGTAGAGAGTTCATTGTTTTTTTCAGCAAGGATTGTTTATTATAAATATCACTGTGAATCTCAAAACTAGCTTTGGTGTTATCAGTTCTTCTGTGCGCCCAGAGGTCATGAGATTGAAAGCCACAAAGTTCCTCCAAATATTGAAGCATGAAAAGTATTTCTTAAAAATATCTAGAATGGCAAACTACATTTCTTAGCCTATTTGTGGCTTTAAGAAATGAATGTTTAACTATGATTTTTCAAGACCTCTTAAAGACTTTCTATCACTGCGGGACTGAGTGAAACAAATGTCCTTCCTTGTGAAGGAAGTACTTAGGACTTAAGAAATATCGTTCTTGATGAGTGGTTATTAAAATCATGTGCAAAGCTGTTTGTCTGCAGCACAAATTATGCAGTTGATTGCTTTGCACTAGATATGCATCTTTTCTCCCTCAAGTCCTCACATCTCTATACAGCTGTTCATGCCTTTTGTCTGATAATATTGCTTGCCATTTTCTTGCTGACCCAAGCATGTTTTGACTCTTGTACTGATAGATTTGCTAGAGGTGGTAGCAGAGAGACACAATGATGATTCAAAGATATCCTCTCTTACTGTAGTGTTACTGGCACAGTACACATACAAATACAGATTCTTTAGCTCAGATAAAGTTGTGCTGATTTGAGTTTTACCAGCATCTTTGTTCACATGTGTTGCAGTCTTTGCCTTTATAATACAATCTTTGTAGAGTAGTGGCTTGTGATTATGGTAAAATGGACAGCTTACACCTCCAAATCACTAGTTCTAATCCAGAAAGAATTTGGTTACATTTTTACTGCTTTTGCCTCCCCTACCCCCCAATTACTATGAAAGTGAAGGCAGCTGATGACAGGTTTATTTTGCAGAAGACAAATGTGTGTGGAATGTGTGTGTTAAAATAAAATTCCATGATCTAAGAAGGTCTCTCTTTAGTGATCTGCATAGTTTGGTTTCTTAACGTCATTCCTCAGGAACAAGTTCTCAAGGCTGTACCCCCTCCAGGGTACAGTCTGTGATGTTGCTTACTGTATTATATAAGTAAGCCTTGTTGCTTACTGTATTATATATACTTTATGGACAGTTACATGTTAACTCTCAATTAAGTGGAGAACTAATTCTGCCAACAGTTGCATGCCTGAGTTAAGCTGACTGCCAGGAAATGAAATAATTTTTTTAATACAAATTTGGAGGTCTTCCTGTTGGTGATTTTTCTTTGCTATCTAAAGGTAAAAGGAATATCTCTCACTATGATTGTTATAGCTTTTCAAGCTAATGTGATGCTTCTTTTTCAGCTGCTGAAAACTGCACTTCTTCTAGGTATTCTTTTGATTTGTGATGATCTGGGGGATAGAGTTGCCTTTGGGCATGCCATGGCATTCTCTTCCAGTCTTCTCACTCATTTCAAGGATTCGTCCACTTAAAGCCTCTTTGCCCAAGATTGCCTCTTCTCTTGACTGAATGATCTCAGCTGGCATAGTCATTTAACAGAACACTGCTCTTGAGTTTAAAATAAAAAGAAACAAAACTGTCTTCTCAAAATAGCCCAGCTGCACACACATGCTGTTGCTATTAGGTGCTGGAGGTTGCTTAGCAATTCTTAAATCAGTAGGAAATTACTATTGCCCTGGCAACTCGGCCCTAAAATGCAAAACAAGAGAAAGCTGTTTAGAGAGGTGTCCTTTCTTGATCTGGGAATTGTGCTTTCCTCATCCCCCCTGCCCACCCACCCCCCCCACCCCGTGCTTCTCTGATTTTTACTTACTTATTTTTAAATTCCTTTTATGTTTTAATTTTAAATTTTGAATTCTTATGTGTTTTGCTCTGGTTATTGAGGTTTCACATTAGGGAAGGTAGTACTGTTCTTTGATTCATTTAAATACTGTCAAGACCTTGATTATGCCATGAGTATGTGAATATTGCCAAAACCATGCAGGGGCAACAGTGTGCTCTCAGGAGCCAGGAGTGCTCAAATTATGTTGCTATAAAGCACTAACCCACTGTCACAACAATACAAGCAGGAACCATAACACGAGGGGGAAGATGGGACTGCTCAAAAGAAACAATAGACACTACTTGTAAATATATAAATAATCATTATCCATTTCTGAGTTCTGAAGGTGTTCAAGACACTTCAATTTAAGACAGACAAACAAGGCAGAGTCAATTTTGCACAAGGTACAAAATTAAGAACCACAACCATTAATAATCTTTAGAAAAATATTAACTTTAACAAACCTGCAAACTACAAAGACTAAACTGCTCAGAAGCTTGTTTTACATGGTAGCTTTTTAAGTGCGTCCTCTTGCCATTGCAGCACTATATCACAGTAAACACACAGTAAACCTGACTAGCTTACTTGCTGGTGAAAAAGGTATTCTACTTTGCATTTACCATATGACAAAATACTTATAGAAATTTCTCTTAAAGCTGCTCATCCAGAAACACTGAAGGACAGCTCAAACCGCGGGAGGTGAAAGGGGAACAAAATAGACAGACATATGCAGTATGGAGACCTGTCTGACCAACAGTAAGCTAGTGAAAAGAAAACTGGGAGGGGGAAAAGGGATTAGGATTAGTTTCCTGTCATTTTAGCTCCATTAATCATCCCATCATAAGGGCAGACAAGCACCAGTGTTGGCACAGGGAAGCAAAAAAGGCATGTATCCAAGACTGCCCTTTTGGCAGGAGCTTAGGCCAACTTAGCTGTATCATACAACCACATCCTCTGGTTAGACACTGAACTGGCATTGCCAACAAAAGGAGCAGTCCAGCCTGCTCATTCCTCACTGCCTGTCAGCCAGCACAAGCTAAACCAGATCAAGGAACTGATCTGTGTTAAATTTGACCTGGCCACACACAAACTACTAGTTTTAATCTGCACCTGTTGCTAATCTGGCTTGCCACCCAGCCACACAAAAACTTGGCTATCATGAAGGACTATAAAGCACAAGGAAGTGAAAAAGAAATCAGGATGGCTACCTTTGATAGCAGTCATCTGAAGGTTGAAGATGGTTTAATCTATCCAACACATGCATGGTGACACAGCTGTCTGTGTAGTTGGCAATAGACTGGGGTGGCTGGTTTTCAGCTAAATAGATTCCCCAGTTGAAGAAGGGTCAGCGTCGGGATAAAAATGAGCAGCTGGACAGTGGAGGATTTAAGGGTTGGTTAAGCTGGTGTTGCTGCTGTAGAACATCTGTGGTATCACAGCCACTCTTGTCCCAGAAGCAACTGGTCCAAAAGTAGAAAAATGCCATGATAGAAAGCTTTTGCCTGGTTAGGCAACAGATGCAAATCCTTGAGGGTACTCATCCTGAAGCCCTTATTGGGGATGAGAAATACTTGCTCTTAATACTGTCCATCAGCTTCTGGATGACTCACTTAAAGATTATGATATGGTACATTTCTTTATGGGAAAGTTTCTAGTCTGTTCGGAAATGACAAGAAAACAAACATTGTAAAATTTTAATTAGGTTCTAAATATTAATCTGTGTAACTAACTGATTGATCATTTTATAATGACAGTTATAGGGTGGTATAGCTGCCTGGGAAGTCTAGAAACAGCCTTATGTTGGTTGCAGACAAGGATTTCATGTCTTTGACAGGACTTCTAAATATTGCAGCATGAATGATTATAAATCCTCAAAGCATCTTTCAAATGCCTCTATGCCCTCATCAGGCTTTTAATTGAAAACATTAAAATCAAACTCATCCAATTATAGCTTTTATTGTAGTCTTGAGGACTGGATGCCTTTTTTTTTTTTTTTTTCAATGTGGGAATATGTTACATATTAAGACTTGGCACTGATCTGAAAAAGAGTTCTCTTTCCCTTAGGTAGAGGCTGGATGTTTGTATGTAATAATGGTATAAGCTGGTTCTCTCCCTTGTGAAGTGCTGGGACAAGTGTTGATGATGCTACAGGGCAAACTACACCAGGAATCTGATTTAGAAGCAGTGTAAACCAGAAGACTAGCTTTTACACCTGGGTCAGTTTTCTTGTTGTTTTTTTATGTGTCATTGCCGATTCTTGTTCTGGCCTGAAATGGGAGATAATGTGGAGGAAGGAGAAGGCAGGCTTACCTAATGCATTTAATGGTTCATCCCAGTTTAGTTTTATTTGAGCTGCAACCCTGCTTGGAGTAACAGAATTGTTGTCCAGACTGCTTGAGAGTCTGGACAGTCAGGCTGATTTTTTTTGTATTTTGTGGTGATGTTCCACTGCACTATGCTGGTTCAAGTGTGCCTTGTATGGAGGAATTGATCCAGATGAAAAATAACCAAGGAAAAATTGCATTTCAGCTGAATCAGCAGGATGTAGAGACAGAGCAAGAATGACTGTCAAGTCAAGGTTTGCTTAAGCTGTGTTCCTTTGATTTGGGACAAACACTGAATGACATGCCAACTAGAATTAAGCTACCTTCCATCTGTGTCATTTTCTGCACGAGTTAGGAAATGTGCAAGTTCAGGTACAACTCTAGATAACCCAGCTGCTGTGCCGAAGTTTCATTGAACAATTTACTGGAGAAACTCTGGTTTATATTAACACCATTTGGTATGATGTTGCTCATGTAGCAAACTGGTGTGTGAGCACTGATCTCTTATTCTGCTTCTTGTTGTCACTGGCTCAGCTGGACTGCTTTTACTGTGGCTTGGCGCTGTGCTTTTACCTAAATTATAGAGTTCCAGTGGTCTGGATAATGCAAATATATCTAGATTAGGGAAATAGATTCTGTTGTTAAAGTGGTGTTTGAAATGTAATTTTCCTAGTTCATGCAGGTTACAAATTCCTCTTTAAAAGAAAACCCATTATGTCAGAAGTTCCTAAGGGCATTTGCTGTTCACCTAGTTGAAGCAGATCTTATGTATTTGATACACATGAAGCTTGGTTTTCTCCTTTTGGGAAGAGGAAGGAAATCTTTCTTTTTTAGGGTAGATTGAGGAGGGAAGGTTGAGTCTCCTGCCATTCCAAATCCCTGCAGGGTGGGTGTTAGATATGTCTGTCACCTGTTTGTGATTTCAGGCCTGGCTGCACTTGCCCTTCCGCATGAGCTGACCATCATGTGGAACCAGGCAAAGTGTAATGTCTCCAGTATGTCTCCTTCCATAAACTGAATTGGCTTTGGCTCCTCTAAGGTGGTGGGAGCAGTTCTTACCAGCCAGCCTCCTACCTGAGCAATTACTCTTCCTTTTAGCCCCACAGGTCTCCCATCTACAGGGACAGGCTTGAGGCCAACTATATTGGTCATGATTTAACTCTTTCCAGCCTTTGCAAAGATTGTTAGAGTTTACCAAACTCTGTTCTTTTAAATCTGTGGTTTAAGGGTGGATGTTTCCAGGTTTTCTCTATCCATTGTAAAGAGAAGGGCACGATCCCATTTTTTTCTCTTTTCAAATTACCGTTACAGTTTGTTTTCAAATGGATATGATTCTGTGTTTACTTTGGACAGGAAAAATATCAGGGTGGGGGGGGAGTAGGCACTTTCTAGCCAAATTTTAACTGAAGTAAAAGCAAATGCTTCGTATGGCAGTAAGGTTTGGCTCAGTCTCATTTGTTTTGTTTTAACAAGTACCATGTTCAGTTGGTTTTTGTTGTTTTCTGGGTTTTTTCCTCTGCCCTTCTTTTCTTCCCTTCAGATCATGACATAGGGTCCTGGGAATGAATATATGACAACATGGATGAAATAACATATATTCATTACAGTAAATTCTTACTGTTGACTTAAATATATACTGAACAAATTTTTGAAACAAATGTACTGCCACTTAGAACTTTGTTCTGAATATTATAGAACAAATGTTACTAATCAACTGAAGTATGAAACTGAAATGCAAGTGGGGAAAATTACTATTTGAACTCCTTTGTCAGCTCTCAATTTGTTGTTGTCACACTCATTCAGGTTAATTACGAGTGTTAAATGGAGAATACTTAATAAAAAACTGTATTGTTAAACACGTTGTTCCAAGTTAATGCTTTTTGATTGATTTCTGGAGGATTATCCTGATGGTTTTTACTTTGCTTCTTTGCAGGTTGCTTTACCTGCATCTTTTTGAAGCTGAAGGTTAGCCTCTGGAAGTACCTTTTGCTTGCTAAATTACGACAGTGCAGCAGAGTCTTCTGAGTTTAGACTGGTTGAAACAGCAGCATACTAAGAAGCAGGAGACTTCCGTCTTCATTAATCAAAACCAAACACGATTGCCCTTGTATAATGTCTGTTACTGTTTAAATGTTGACACAGTAACCATTTCACTGGAGACTTACAGCTGGTTTGTTTCTCTTTAAATTACTGAACAGAAAAGAATTTTAATTTGAATATTGACTACTTATTTAAAGAATTATGGAAATGTAATGAAACACTTTAAAATTGCTTATTTCGCTAAAGCCCTTTATATATTGCACATTTTGGTTACTGTAACTGAGGTTTTAGACAGGCAAGTTTGTTTACTTTATGTGGAATATTTTTCTCTTATTCATTTTCACCAATCGTGACTGGGGAAGAGAGAATGAAACGAGAACTATTTTTTGAAATGCAGTTGATTTTATCTGAAAATCCTCATTTGTTGTACCCAACTGTCCTTCCAGATTTATTATGAAGGATTACTTTACCTGATTGGAATTCAAAGAGACAGTTGTTAGAACACTATTGTTGATATAAAAGGACAGCAGTCAAGAGTTCAGCAAGGTTCTAGATTGAGTTGTTCCAGTGAAGTCAGCCTATCTGTGTCTTCTCAAGATTGGGTTCCTAAAGGACCAAAAGTTGAGAATGTTCTCATACTTTTAAAGAAAATGATAATAATCTGTAGTTTCATCAGTAGTTGTGGTGACGCTGTTGGAGGTTTATGTAGGTTTTTAAACTGAGTGTAGCAAGTTTCGATCACTAGTTGGATTTGGATTGATGATGACAACACAAACTCTGTACTGAACATGTTTCTCTATAACGTGGAAGACACCACGACGAACTGGACATACGGCGGAGACTCTCATGTGAGATTTATGGGTTTGTCTTGCAGGTTGCCATCACGAAAGCCAAAGTGGATTTCTCCGGCGTGGTGTGCCTGCCCCCTTCCGTCATTGCTGGAAATGGGCTGGACGGAGGCGGGGCTGGCGAAAATGATGATGAGCCGGTGCTGGTGTCCCTTTCGGCGGCCCCCAGCCCGCAGAGTGAAGCTGTTGCCAATGAGCTGCAGGAGCTCTCCTTGCAGCCCGAGCTGACCCTCAACCTCCATCATGGCCGAAACCCCAACCTTCCTCCACTCAGTGAAAGGAAGAATGGTAAGTGGGACCATGCACTCATGTCTCACATAGTGTGTCCTCACTAAGGAAGTACTGTGGTGATGTCATGGGACATGTTCTGATGACAGATCTGCTTTTTAGTGCTTCTTACAGTGGTTTTTTTTGTAGGAAGAACTAATAATGTAGAGTTCACAAGACTGAGTTACACTAATTGATTGGAAGGATTGATGTTACTGGCTGTGAAGGTTCCACAGAGCTCCAGTGATAAATACTTTATATTATTATTTTAGGTCAATACCAGACACAGCTTCCACGTACTTTGTGGTGACTAAATGTTGTGCAAAGCTGAGACAGTCAATCAAAGGAAGTGTTAGCTCATTTTCAGACTGTAGCCATCTGTAGATCCGTTTTCTTTGCCACCTTGGTCTACACTTACCAAGGGTGAGTAACTTGCTCACTGCAACTGCCTGAAAGGTTCTGTCAGACTTATTGGAAGGAGAAACAAGACCTAGAGTGAAAAATTTAATATCCTAATAGGCCTTCTGGTCCTAGAATGAGAATGACCTGCCTGTGTTTCTGAAGTTGCAGGTACTTTATGGGCAACTATTTAGTGGGTGACAGTTTAGTGGCAAAATACAGGGTCACTCAGTGACCGGAATTCCTGGCTTTGGAAGACTGTTAACTGTCTGAAGCTCAGGGTCACCAGGCTGCTGTGCACATTCAGCCTCATCCTGTGACAGACTGATGAAACCATTTGATGAGTGGTGGCTTCTGTTTGGGGCTTCCTTTTGGTGATCTCCCTTCACTCCATCCTCTCAGGTGTACGTTGGTGACTCTTGGCAGTATGAAGGTCTTGCTATAGTCTGAATTCATGCTATCACCTGTGAGCTTACTAAGGATTTGAACGTAATTGGGTCCTGTGTGCCTTATAGTGTTGGACATTGTAGAGTTGCATAGCACAGCATATTGGAAATGCTGAGGACCTTTGGAGTGACTTTATAGCCAAAACATAATGCTTATGGTAAAGTGATTTAGAATATTTGCAGTAATTTGGATTAGAGGGCTACCTCACTTAACATGCCTGGATCTTTATGTCCAGAAACTAAGCATGCCCTTCTCTGAATAGTGTATCAGTATTTTGCTGTTTGGAAGAATTAATTAACTTAAACCCAATATGTTGTTTTTTAAGAGTGTAAAAAGAGTTTCCTTACATTATATCATCATTACGTGATCACAGTTATGTTTACAGGCCTTGAAATGGAGAAAATAGAAACTGCAAAAACAGAACCAAAAGCTTCTAATACTTAATGTTTGCAGTCTTCTAAGTATAAGATAAAAGACAACAGGTGGAGATAAAGGTGGTGATGGTAAATAGAAGAAAATTGGAACATTAGCACGGTAGACTGATTTCAGCACATCTGAACTGGTGGTACACTGGGACATTTTATAGTTATGAAGACAAGGAGAGATTTCAAATGGAATTTAATTAAGATAGTATCGAACTGATAGAGAGCTTGAAGGCAACATGGGAAAAGCACATGAGCCTTTGTTTCCAGCACCTGACAGCTGGCCACCTTAAGGTGACGTGATTTTTCTGGAGGCAGAGTTCTTCTCTTAGCGAATAAGGCATGATCAAAGGTCCTGAACTGGGAAGAAGCAGTTAATTCTTGATGCCACAGGGAAAGGGATACTAGTGTTGGGAACAGATGAGAGTACCTTTTATAAAAATGAAACTTGTAGCAGCACTTTGAATGATATTGTTATGGTCAGAGGAAAGCATATTCTGTTACAGGAATGAAAGAGTCTTTGTAGGATTCAGTTGTTTGATTAAGTTTAAAAATTGGTATCTTGGGAATATTTTACAGAAATAGATGGTTTTCCTCTATCAGAATAATGTTATTTTTATGGACTCAACCTTGGAGCTATTATCACTGTGGTCTGCAAATCTGCTTGACTTGAACAGGTTGTGTTTTAAAAGTATTTGGAAAGGAACACCCCTGCCCATACCTTTTGCCAAAGAAAATCGGGATATGCCCGGAAATGACTCATTAGGTGGGTCTTTTCAGAGCTGATTCTTTATCAGGGCTCAGCACAATAGTGGAAATTTTACTGCTGGAGGGGCAGCTTTTCAGACTAGATGTAAAGTCCAAAGTTCCTGATCTAGATTACCTGAATATACCTTATCTTTGGAGGTACACAATGCTTTTTTCTCCTAGGCTGCAGTATGCTATGTGTTGTTTGTGTGTACATTCATTAAAGTATTATGGGACTGAAAAGTCCTGTTGAAATATGGTTATCTGCAAACTGTCACAGCATAAAAGAGTACTTGGCTTTGTGAGCTGTTGAGAAATATAACTGATGCATTTTGAATTAATAAATGTCTTCCTTCAATTGGGAACTTCTCAGTTATCTTGGGGGTGGAGGTTGCACAGCTGTTGAAAGCTGTTGAGCTTGTTAAAACTCCTTTTTTAAATATGGTACATCTTTGTTGTTGTGCCCTTGGCTTCAAACATGTTAAAAAACCTATAATCTCCCAGTTGAGATGGCAATCTGCTTAAACATTTGAGCAATCCAAAATAGTTGTAGAAGCATATCTTGTGCAGTGGAACTACTTCTGTGACAACTTGCCAAATTCAAGGTATGAGGAAGATTCAAACAGCAGCAGTGGGAGGGGAGGAGATGGTAAGTAAGAGACATGCTGGAAGCCGCCTATCTGTGTCAAAGGGTCTCCTGTTTGCAGTTCTAAACAGGCACTGCTGACTCACAGCTAAACTAACTATTTATGCTGAGAGCTTCTAACAGATTAACTCTTTGTGTAAGTTTTGCTAAACAGACTTTTCTTATCTGTAGATATCTGTGGAAAAGTATTACATGGATTTGTACTGAATTTGTTACTTCAGGCTGTGGTTCTGGAACATAAACTATTAGCAGAGTTAAAATAGAAATTTCTTTGGCCTGTGAAGCATCATGGAATTATGTATCCCATGGGAGAACTGGGAGTGCAGTCCTGTATGCACATGATGCTATATGCCCTAGGACAGCAGATTCCTTTTTTATTTTTTTCCTTCTCTTAGAACTGAAGAGCAGCAAGACGCAGTCTCCGGGGGTTTTGTTGTTGGTTTTGGTTTGTTTCAAACCCAGACCTCTCTTCATATTCTCCCTTACCACAGCTACGTTATCCTTATAGTCACACGTATCCTAGAAGGATAGGTACACCTAGATACACCAGTGTAAAGACTTTGAACATCTTGACTGCATAGTTGTTACTAACTTACTCTAAATTGAAATGCCATAAAAGATAATAGGGATATGGAGTTCCAATATGAAGCATTTGAACATAAGGGATAGCTTGGAAACAATTTTTTTGTCACTTCAGTGGAAGGAAACCTTATGTGGTAAGGTGTTAGTAAAGTATTTTGACACAATTATTAGGTTCTATTCATACATCAGGCTACATGGGACATTTAAGGTGTAGATATTTAATTTGTGCTTCACAGTGAATTTTATACCCAAAAGTCACATTCCTTTTCCTTTTCTACCCATGTACGTCAAGGCCTCAACTTTAACTATGAGAGATTACCTGTGACTGACTCATTTGTTGCCACACGATCCAAAAAAAGTCATTACAGAGTCATCTGAATCTCTTCAGTATATCTTGATTTTTCTCAGTCACCTATACTAAGATGCCCAGATAACTTTTCCCAACCCTTAGGGCAGGGTTAGAGCAAGTCCCTGATGAATGTATTTACGAAAAAAAAGAGAAAAAACCCAGATGATGAATATTCAAATCTTATGTAGTTTGATAATTTCTAAAAAAAAGTCCTTCTACTTAACTGTCATTTGAAATTATGGTAATTGCTCCATTAGCTTATTGACCCATTTCCCCCAGATGAATTCATAGTTATCTTTGTCCAGTGGTCATGAAAAACATTATGTTAGAACCCTATGATAGTCTTGGTTTCTTCTCACTGTAGGCTTGTTTAAGAAGAGTAACATTCTTTTGAATGAACTGTTGCATTTAATGATTACAGGTTTGGACGAAACTTGTACCAGCTTGCCAGTGTTTGGGGTTTACTTGGTCTGGGATGCTTGCTTCTACAAAGTACCATATGTGTTGGGGGAAGAGAGACTAGTTGGAATGTGTGGAATTTCAGTGTGACTCAAGTCATGTAACAGGCATGTGCCTTAGGTATCAGAAGGTACTCCTGTTAGCATTGTACAAAGCATGGGATAAATAGTTGCTACATGTTGGTAATTATACTCACAGATTGCAGAGCTGAACTTTTTAAATGCTCCTGAAGAGTTTTAGTGCCTATGTTCCTGTGCCCATTTACTGTTAAAATACAGGAGTATTAGGGCACCTCATTTTATTTTAAATAATTGTGTAGGTGATTGCTCCTATAATTCTTTTATTAGGCTAGACATTCCTATCTCCCTCCCCTTCTTTCCCTTTCCCATCCAGAACTGTCATTACACTGAATGCAGTCAGTTTCAAATATTTCAACTATAACTTATTACAGGGGGTTTGCAGATTTTTTAAGTGTCTTCTTGCTATCGTGACTTTCGAAACATTAATAATGTTTTCTTAAAATCATGTCATAAGCTGTCCTTTTAAAAAGTGAATGATGTGACTTGCAAACTCATTTAAGAAGTTAGGCATGTTTACTTACAAACAAGGATGATATTTTGTTCCTAAGAAAGGGTTTTAAAGAGACAAGAGTATTCTGAAATGATTTTTCAGGTTTTGTGTGGTTTGTTTTTATTTTTTTTTTCCTAGTATGTGTCTGCCTTCTGGAGTAGTGCAAGTCAAAGTTGCATTTAATTACCAAGCGGTGGTAACTGCCTCATCCAGAACTTATATGTGAAGAAGATTAAGTCTGTATTGCAAGAAAAAGACCAAGACAGGAAATGTATAGCTTTCTCTGATCTGTCCTTCACACACATTCCAATGAGGCTTGCTGTTTTCTCTTGTGTGAGAGTAAGGGGAATGATTGCTAGAATAAAAACAACCAGTCTGTCTTGGATAGATTTGTGTTAAG